TGTTGAAAATAAATCTCACATCGCATGTGGACAATATCTTGGGCCAGCTTATAAACAATGTAGCAAACCTCTCTTGAAGAATCGGTTTTGTGAGATGAGTTAGACCCATGAATTTCTACACATTTCATTAACTTTTATAAAAATTTGCTAAAAAATTAATTTTTATTCAAACCAAACAGAGACGGACTAGTGCATGGCATGGCATAGCACAAGAAGGAAAAGTAGTGAGTCCATAACTTGCACGACTAAGTAATATCTGGCTTCGACCGCCCGACCCACTTTTACGGCGTTACCGTGGTGCTAGTTGGGGGGTGGAAAGGATGTGAACTTTATAAGTTCATTGACATTGCAGACTAATGAACCCTGTTCATGTGTCAAGATAATTTTTCTTTGTCCGGCAACAGCACCCACCTAAACCTATTAGCTTTAGTTTTTGGCTTAGTGAATAGACTAATCACCTTAAAAGGCAATCAAAAGTTAAAAGAGTAAAGAAAATACAGTACACAATTGGGGAAAGCAGCTTCACGTGCATGGATTTGCTGTCCATTCTATCGATATTCCCTACCTAAGAAACTAGGTGTCACTAAATCCTAAGTGCTGTTTGCTTGCTCCGATGCTTCAATTTAATCATTTCCACTTTCCAATTTCACTCTACTTTTTATGTCTTTATAGATTTTTTACGAGTGAAATCTGCATTAAAGGTAAGATTACGCATTTTGTCCTTAATATGTCCATTTTATCATCCTCAAAAACTAAATTACTCAACCTCAATTGCAAGTGCACAAAATAGTGAATGACAAGTTTTAAAAAAGAATAATGCTACTTGCAGTCGCTCACTGCAGCAGTTGTCTTATGTGGCACACACATATCAAGTGTGTATTTGATACATTAAATGTGGTAAAAAACTATCACATTAATGCATCAAATAACTACATGTCATGTGTGTGTCACATAGGGCGACTGCAAGTAGCATAACTCTTTAAAAAATCAGCTTTGACATGTTCGCTTTCGAATCCAGCGACACGATATTTTTGTTGATCTTAATTCTATATTGAGTAACTTTATCTACAAATTCGAAGTAATTAAAATAAATAAATTATTTGCTTAAATTTCATCTTAAAGTTGAGCCAGATATAGTGATCGATTGATTCTACATATGAGAAGAAAAAAAAATTGTATTCTTCATTGGTAACCAACCACGAGGGTGAGGTTGCTTCATGGAATGGATTCAGTCATTAGTTCCCATGCAACGACGCCAAAGTCTTAGATATGTTATCGAGTACAATTCGACAACTATTTGACAATGGTACGGCGGGTTCGGGAGATCCAATTTTTCTTTATTCGTGTTTGGTACTTAATACTTTGACACTATAATAAATAAGATTTTAAAATTTTTATTCCCTAACAAAACATTTGGATCTCAATTTTCTCATTACATCTATCTGAATTACATGTTGAGCTTCAGGTTAGAACCAAGTTTTTTAATATTTCAAAGTATTACACTTAGTACCCAAGAAAAAAACATTTAACAAACAAAAAAAGAATTACATAGTAAAAAAAAAAACTTTCCCAAATTTGTAACTTTTGAATTTTAATGAGTAATTTTATTGTAATGCATTCAATAGTTATTATTTATTACTCAATAACAATATATTTACAAATAAATGTTAATTAAAAATAATAATCAAATAAAAATAAAATAAAATAATTATTAAATAATAATAATAATAGAATATATAAATGATATCATGGAAATTATTATTATTATTATTATTATTATTATTATTATTATTATGTAATATAAAATGAATGGCAAAATAAAAATGATGAAAAAAAAAAAATCTAAAAATCATGCCAAATGAATAGTGTTACACCAAATTTGGTGCAAAACTGTCATTACACAAAATTGGTGTAGAGTTTTAGTGTATGTTGTAGTGAATTTTTGCACCAACACCAATTTGATGCATGGTTGGAGATACGGATACCCAAATCCCCCCAAGACCTTTTTCATATGTTCTTCTCTTTTCTCATAGACCAACTTGCACCATACTTTTATTTTTTTAAGTGCATTTCATGTTCTTAAGACTTAATTAGAGCATAGACACTCATGACCTTTTTGTCTTATATATGTACCCAATATTATTGTAAATGCTTTCTTGTACATAGAAAGATTCTCGTCACGTTCACCACAAACCATTTGCGAAGACTTTCTTTAAATATCTGATAAGTATATTTTGTACACTTATATAGACCATTAAATTAGAGTATTTGTTAGTGATTTGGAGGAGCTATAACTTAATTTCAAGTTAATTATATTTGTTAGGTTGAACTCAATGCAAATTAGTAGATTTGGAAGATATGAATGAAAAACGTGCGAAAACGAAGGCAATCCAAAAATTGGGGACCAAAGTGTAAACATCCAATAGTTGATTCAAAGCACAAAATGATGATTGAAAATCATATAGGATCAATTGGATGCAATTAGAGGTCAAATGAGTGAAATATAGTTGAAGTATTTTCACAAATTAATTTACAGTCGAAGAAGTTGTGCTATGAATTTTTAGTCTCAACTTGAAACCCATTTTTAGGATAGTAAACGTTCGAATTGAAAAAATTGTATTTCTAGAAGAATTGTAGCCATTTGAATTAAATTTCCAACTCATTTTGAATCGACACATCGAATACCTGTAGAGAAAGTTATGGCCAAAATACCGAAAATTGCTCAGAGACAAACCTGCTCGCTCACAGGCAATTCATGGAGCGCGCGAGACACCATATTTTCCCCAACCCGAGAGCCATTTGGTTCTACGGCTACCACGTGCGTGCACAGGCCTTTTTCACAGATGAATTTTTAGTTTCCTTTCGCGATTCAAACTCTTTTAGAAATCAAATTGAACGCGATTTTGACATATTTGCTGACTCTTATAAATAGAGAACGAGGGCTACACATTAAAAAAAAAAAAAAAAAAACTTATCTTGCCTCTTCATACAAATTATTATCATCAAATTCATCAAGAATAAGAGGCCAATTACTATATTTTGATAGAGAAGATCAAGCCCTACCAAAGAATTGAAGGTCAATTACATCAAGATTTTGAAAAATTTATCATTGAGCTTGAAGATCAACATCTTTTGATTTATTTCATGATCCGAGTGATATTTTTCTATTATTCTTTTTGTAATTTATATATTAACATGCTATACTAGATCCGCTTTTGTGTTGGATGAAGATGAACCTTATTTGTTTATTTGCTTTAATTCAAGACTAATAATTTAATTTATTTCTTGTGTTTCTCGATTAATTTGTATACACATTACATTATTTAATCGATGACCACCAATTAAATAATTATTTGTTTATTGTAGTGTTGAGAGACTCACAATAAGTTTAGAATGCGGTAAAATTAACATATGTGCAATATATGTTAGGAATAACATTTATTACATGTGCCATCATATAAATAATCTAAATTTTAATGCATTCTAATCATTCGAATTCGGGTTCGTAATGACTCGGGTCATAGTTATGATATATTTAATTTGTTTTGGAAAATAAAATTATATATCATAGAATTATCGATTGTCAACAACGCATGAACAGAATTAGATTACAAATCAAGAATTTAAATAGATAGTAATAGGTGGATTCGAGAT